AATCGCATCCCACGTGCACGGACGGCCTAAATCTGCTTCTTTTTCAAGCACGATCGAACGACTAGATTTTATCAGATCGTGCGGTTCAGATTAATTTTTCAAATAAGAGTGATCCAACGGTTGAGGATGGGCTACATCACCTCAAACGGGCGACCCAGATTTAATAAAGATGAGTATTTAAACTCCTCTTTACAGGGAACCTTAACCCTAGCTACCGGAGAGGAGATCGGAGAATAAGAAGAGATGCAGCCAGAAGTGAATCAATTGCCGGAGAAGGAGACCAGCCATCGTCGCCGCCGCACCGGAGCCATTTTCGACATCGAAATGGTAAAAAATTTTCTCCATCTGCTCAGAATTGAATTTCGAACCTCTCCACATCCATATCAGAGCCAAAAGGCCAAAAGGGTGGGCCAGAAATCGTGAGTGGAGCTCAGTCGAGCCGTTGCAGTTGCAACCCAAAAATTCCTCCGATGAGCCCCTTCCTGTTTTTCATTTCCCTCGATTTTTTGGCTGTCATATTTCTCATTTCATTCTATTGCAAGTTAGCCGAAGAGAAGCCCCAACTGCATGAGAGGAACAGCGAGCCATCGCATCGAAAAATCTCTTTGCCGATAGGGTCTCGATTTTTTTTTTCAGTTGATGGAGGTTCTCTAACCCTATTTTTTATAGGTTTTCATGCAAGATCAGCCAAAACCGATCAAAATCAGTTAAAAATGGTCAGGCTGAGAGGAATCGCTGCCATAGACGGCGGAGTCGACGCTGGAGCGCGGCAGCGGCTCCATGTTGGCCTTATTGGGGTATTTCGGGATACGTAACATGTGTTTTTTATTTCTGCAAGAAAAATTTAGAAACTTCGAGAATCACCTGGAGGCGTAGTGAAATAGACAGTATTTCGAACACCAATCTAGGGTAAGAATCCCTCATCATTTATTCCTATTAGAATAAATTAAAGTCTAATAACTAATAACGGTGTGTTTTAAAAAAATTAAAAATTCATAAATTAATTAGAAGTTACCAGTGGATGCGGAACAAGTCAGTGTATAATTGATTTAACTTTGCTGTTTATGTTCTCCTAGACTGTCTAAATTATTATTGTTTATTTATTTTAATTACTTTCTCATTCATTGATTACTTGGCTGATTATTCTCACCTATCGACTGATTCAAATCAAATGCCCTAATCACGTTTTCTTGATTTTTGTATTGTCTATTTACATGACTTAATATTGATCTGTAAATATGAAATGTTGGTATGCAATTGGTGATTGGTTGATGATATAGATATATCTATGAAAGGTTTATCCGGTACCCTATGAAAAGGTGTAAAGATTCGATGCATAGGAGAAACTCTATCATGGATATTACCTCAGTCGAACGGGGTCGAAAAGTCTCATACTGGACAAGGTATTGAGGCAGTGATATGTTTAGTGCCCATTACCGGACGGAGTATGAGATGACTGATTAAATGATAAATGAGATATTGGGTCCACGCGTTGAGAAGATCTCTATGGACCCCCAGAGGTATTAATAAGTGGGTAAGAAGGTAAGTTACTGTTATTGTTCATTTAAATGTGAAATAAAATGCTATCCTGACTATTGTCTTCATAATTCGGTTTTGGAAACTCATAAGGGTAAATATAAGAATAACGGTTTTTACGTTAAATGATTTTATTTAAAAAGAGATAATGACTCTATTTGTTGTTTACGATTTTTACCAACTTTTAATTTTCTATATTGATATTAAATATGATATTCTTATTAGGTTACTGTAACTCATCGTTCTATTTAATCATTTTGAGATTAGGAAGACTATGATCTAGATATTGAACAACATGAAAAAGGTTGCAAATAAAGCTGTCTCTCGCATTCGATCAAAGTTGACAAGCGGAAGTTAATTTCATAGGATCTTTAGTTGTGTTTTCTTTTATTTATTTACTATGTTATTGAAAACTTCTTTAAATGAACATTTTTGTACTCTTATTGGGCATCCCGATTCATTGTGTAAGGAATATAAACCCTAAACTCTTATTTGTTTATGTCTTTACGATAGATATTCATTTCCTTTAAAGTTTGGGCTCTTACATTTTAACTAAATGAATTATTTCAAGTTGTTTAGTTTTTTTCATTTTCAAATGTACCTAAAAAACTTTTGTTTTTATTTACAAACATATTAGTTAACTTGTTCTCGTTTTAATTGCTGCAACCTCACGAATGAATTAATAATTAAATATTAAATTCACTGAACCAATAATACACTTTCATATAAAAAATAAATTATCTAATTTTATCATATTGTTGAGTTATATTAACAAATTTTTTATTAAATTATTTCTTTATAAATATTCTACTTATTCAAACTTAAAAATACTACAGGTAGTGAAAATTTATAGTACGATTATTAATATAATTTGAACACCATTATTTTTAATAAATTAATACATAAAACAGACTTTATGAAAAAAGTTTTTGACTACATTAAAATTAAATAATGCCATAAGAATGATGAAATTAAACCTACAGTAAATGACTTAAGAATGATTTTCAAAAATAACCCAGAAAGGAAAATATTACAACCATAATGAAGTATTTTGAACTATATTTACTTTAAAATACGTTCTCATCATCATATAAATTAATGATATTTTTTTCCATTTACAAAAAATAAAAAGTAGATAAGTTACGTTGTATTTAAAATAAAAAATATATGGTAATATATAATTATCAACTCTCTAACAATTTGTAATTTATTAATTTTTTTTATTAGTTTCAGCTATCAATAATTAATGTATTTCCCTAATTAAAAAATAATTATTTTGTTGTTAATTATTTATCATAACTTTTACTTTCATTAATTATTGCACATAATTATATAGAATTAACATTATTATATTACATCGATCATTATTTGAAAAAGAACAATGGTAGATTACTCGTAAAAGAAAAAAGAACAGTAGATAATTAAAGCTAATAATACGCGGATAAATATATTAAAAAAATAATACATTATAAATAAAATTATTTATCATTAAAAAAAGAAACTTTATCTTTGTTAATTAATTAATAAAAATGGGCGCGTCCTTTGCAAGCAGATTTTTATGCGTAAAAAAGAAACTGATTTATTTATTCTGATTCGATTATGCCTCTTCCCCTTTTATATGAACAGCCAGAAGTTTGTGTGGTCCGTCTCTTTACTCCTCTCACATCTTTAGGTTTTTCTTCTTCTTGGGTTTTTCAGTTTCGGTGGCAGACAGAGGTAAAGAACTCACTCTTCTTATGGCTCAGGAGTCTACTGATTTGCCTGTGAAAAGGCCTAGAGATGACGGAGAGAATGGTGTCTTTGCTACTCCTGCGTCCATGGAGACGGAGGCTATCAATAACACCACCAACGACAAGGACTCTGCTTCTATATCCTCCGTAATACCTGGCTGGTTCTCCGAGATTAGCCCCTTGTGGCCTGGTTTGTTGTCTTTTCAAATCTTCATATTCTTTCAGCTTTTTTTTTTTGTTTGTTTGTTTCTTTCTTTTTCATTTATGCGCCGCTTGGTTGCTGAGAAATGACGGGAAAGTGATTAAACATATCTGAATATTCATTTCTTAAGCTTAGTCTGCTGACAAACAGAGTGTTTCATAATTCCTTTTCTGTTTATCTCACTGGTTCTATTCGGCCTTCCGACTGATTGATGTATTCCTTTACGTGTTTCATGATATTTGAACTCATTGGTGTGTCTGTCTAGTTAAAATTCAGTCTTAAAGCGTAAGTTTGCTTTTGAATGTGCAACAGTATGTACTGTCGTTCGAATACATGTATATATTTATATTCTTTTATAGAAAAAAAATGATATTATTTGAATTTGTATATTTGGTTTTAGTGTTCTGCAGGTTTTTGTGTATCGCAGGGTTTCTTATTGTTTAACCATTTCCCCTTAAAGACGTCAAAAATTTATTTATTCTCTGTGGATCTTACGTTTTACATTATCGCCAAAATTCTGTTTATGCCTTTTCTTCTAGTCTTGTTCTGTCATGCCATGCTTATGCGGGTATGTCTGCGAATTCATTTCTCCCTTTTCTGGTGTGGGAGTTCTCTAATTTTAATGTGTCCAGTTGTTTTTTATGTGGATTTTTAGTTGTTGGGATTCATTTCTAGGGAGAAAGTGATTTTCTTATGTAGACGCGACCGGAGGTATATGTGTCTTAGTGTGCATGTGGGTGTAATCATACTGATTGCCTTATTTAACGTTACTCCTTTCTCTACAGATAAACTGACAGACAAGACTTTCTGTTTTGTATAGGTTTGAACTTCTCTGCTCTTTTTTTTCTCTTAGTCGGTTAAATCATAGAAAATTTTAAAGACATGGGCTTAATGAAAGTTTAGGTAGATGCATATGTTGTCTTTTTTCAAATGTATATATTAGGTTGCACTGCAATTGAGTTAATCTATGCTCAACAGTCCTCTCTGAATTCCATCCGCTGTTGAATCTTGTAGGTTATGAAATAGTTACATATTTCAAAAGGCCACAATCTTTCTCCATTTAAGGGTATACGTACCCGTCATCTTTAGTTTCTTATTAAAAAAATTGCATCCATTGTGGATATCATTATTCCTGTTTCTTTTTGTTTTATTTTCATCATAAAGTTCTTATTAAAGACTGTATTCAGAGAGAGAGGATTCATATAATATGATGTTTTGTTAGTTCTGGCATCAACTTTCCTCCAGCTCTTTTTTATTGTACCTTCTTAAATATCATATAATGATGTGCTCTGCCAAAAGTTGCTTTAGAGTTCACTATGTTATGGTCTGTTGATTTACACTTGCCTACTATTGATTAAATTATTATTTTTTAATCTTGGCTTGGTTCTGTTTTTATTGCATTTTATAGGTTATGCAGTTAGTTCTCTTCTTAAAATTTTGTTATCCATACATTATAAATGTGTTTCTTGTTGGTTTAGGATTTCTTCTGCTGTAGCCATTAAAAAAGAGGTTTAGTGAGTGCAAGTTCAGGCGGCTAGATCCTGATATTTAATAGAAGTGCTTTTCTGTTGTTTTATTGGACTTTAGTATTTGTGGTATTTGCTTGGCTTGGATAATGTTTGTTTTCTCACTTATAAATGTTAGTCCCTAGGAAGCTACTAAAAGATCACAGTGTACTTGGTGGAAGAAAAATTCTGATCCTTTTCCCCCCTTTATTCTTTATCAAATATATTTTTAACTCTCTTGAAGGTGAAACATTTCTTTCATGTACTCTTTTACCCTGCTAATTATGGTATCAGCTTTGCAAAAGTTTATCATTGTCAAATTTCTGAAATGTACAGGAGAGGCACATTCCTTGAAGGTAGAGAAGATCTTATTCCAAGGAAGGTCTGAGTACCAGGATGTCATGGTGTTTCAGGTATTTGGTGGTTTAAGGAGATTGGTTGTGTTTATTGTTTAAAAGGACTGATTTAAGGAGGTTGGTTGTGTTTATTGTTTAGAAGGATGGTGTTACCTTTCCTTTATTCATCTCTTACCTGCCAATTTTGTGTTGAAGCTGACCTGTTAAATGTGGTATTTTTTCTTTCTGTAGTCATCAACATATGGAAAAGTTCTTGTTTTGGATGGTGTTATTCAGCTCACGGAGAGAGATGAATGTTCTTATCAAGAAATGATTACTCACCTTCCACTTTGTTCAATTCCAAACCCAAAGAAGGTAATTCTTCTTTAATATTGAAAGAGAAAGCAGTAGACATAAGGGAGTCATGTGGTCGTCACTGCAATATTTAAGAAAATGATTTTAGGACTGAAACTTCTCGGGACATTGATGGGTATTGTGTTTAATCATATTGTCTTCATTGTTACATAATATTATTTTTTGGTTTCAGTAGGACCTCTGTAAAGTTAGGAAACCTGCTTTGCTGGTATCATTAGCTTGTTAGTCGTGCTTTTACACCTTACCTTAAGTAGAGAACAGAGTTCACATTTTATAATTATTAGAAACAGTAGAGAATTAATGAGAAAATATTTGATTTGCTAAGATCACTGTGGATGATATTATGATGACTCTGAGTGAGTGGCATTTACTGTTTGATTTACTATAATTTTCTTAGTTCATTGTTATTCGTTTACAATGACAATCCTTTTCTCTCTTCATGTCCAGTGGCAACCTAAGAGATTAGGTAGAACCATTGTCAACTAAAGGAGTAGGAATAGGAGGTCTGTGATTTTGTTGATTAACATATCCTGCCCTGTTACCTTTTCACATACAACAAATTAGAATGCCCTCCACCTTTTAAGATCTACATTTATTACTGCAATGAATGGCATTTTGTTCCCTGAAATGGAAAATGTGTAGGATTTTCAGTAAACGTCATAACTAGATTTGCCCCACCCTTTTCTATATTCTTCAGTTCTTACCAAATGGTTGCAAGATACAGGGAAAAAGAGTGAAAAGAAATGAACAAAGCTTCCAAGAAATATGGAACCACGTTAATCCGTCGAGCATA